GTCCTTCTTCTTTCAGCTGTCTCCTTGGCTGGAAAGTTCTCCTTCTCTCTTTCTCTTCTCGAGCGCGCTCTCGCCCTTCTGATTGATCTCTTCTTCCATGGCTATGAACCTATCTGCGAACTTGAGGAATACAGTTATGGTAGCCGGCTGGTTGACAACCATGTGCCACTTGAATTCCTTGTGCATCACGCCCTTCTTGGTTGCTACAAGGCGCACTTTGGGGTCCAGGCGCGGTATCTGCATGCATGCATCATTGAACCGCTTGATATAGCCCCGGATGGACTCTCCCTCTCTCTGGACTATGCTGAGAAGGCTTTCCTCAGTTTGCGGGCACCGCTTGCTGGTGACGAAGTGGGACGTGAAGGCTTGCGCGAACTATGCCCAACTTCTTATAGATCCGAGTGCAAGGTTCCGATACCACGTGCGGGCCACTCCTCTGAAAGTGGTGGAGAAGGCCACACACATGCAAGACTCACTGGCCCTGGCCAGGTGCATCCATGACTGGAAAGCGTCTACATGATCATTCGGGTCGAACGACCTGTCATACTTATCGAGAGAGTGGAGCTTGAAGTCCTTGGGCATTGGAACAGCCAGGAGCTTGAGAGAGAGAGGGGGGATGGAACAGAAAGGAGGGGAGCTTTTACTTCACTCGAGCTTACCTCTTCCCTACCTCTGAGTTTGAGCAAGTCGTGGGTAATAGTTCGGCGAGCTCGGCGGCGGCGTCTTTGCTTCTTGGCAGGCTCCGCGTTGGTGCTGCTCACCTCCATACTGTCGGGAATAGTATGTGCAGGAAGCAACTCGGGCTGCTGGTGATGGTTGCGGACAGAGGGGTTCTGCTTGGAGTCTGCAGCTAGGATCTCGAACCGGTTCTCCAGAAGTGGGGCTTCGAACTTCGATTGCTAGGGTGACGTAGACCTGGCGAGCTGGGGTCCTCCCGACCTGACTGCCCGCGGCGAGACCGGTGGTTGGTCTTTCCTTTCTGCCGCGAGAGGAGGCTTGGCTCTTAGGGGGGTTCTGGGAAGCCTCTTCTTGGCGAGAAGGGCGTTCATCCTGGCGGCAAGACCTAGCTTGTCGCGAGGCCAGGTGCCGAGGAGGGAGTTGAGGCTGAGGGTGAGGCAGCTGAGGGAACTGCTGCTGATAATGATATTGAGAGACTTGGTGCGACACCTACTGCTAGTAGAGCTGGAACTGCTGAAACTGCTGCATCTGGGCTTGCATGGCCCGCATGAACTGCACCAGGTTGTCGAGTTGGCTCTGGCTTGTCGTCGGAGGGACAACAGTTGGTTCAGCAAAGGTTGTCTCAACAGAGGGGGGAAGGGGAACACTCACAGGTGCCACTGCTCATGGCACATCCAGGTTAGGGACTCCGTCCACCGAAAGGGGAATGGTGAATTGCCCAATGCAGACCACGGGGAACTGGAGTTGTTCCCTGGCGATGTCCATCTCCATGCTACGTTCGACATTGCTTGAAGAAGCCATGAATGTTGAGTTTTTGGAAAAGAAGGAACTGTGAAAGCTTAGAGGAAGGCTTTTAGAAGCGTTCCCACAGACGGCGCCAAATGATGGTGCGCAATCCGGTCACTCCTACCTGACACTTGTGTGGCTCCTGGAAGGTATTTGAGATGGAGAAGATGAGGGATCCCCGGGGGTTTGCTCGGCGGGAACACTTCGACGCTTAAGTTAGAATTCTATGAAAGATGCAAAGAGAGGAAGAAAGCTAAGAGTGCAGATAGCGCGAGTATCAGAAAGTTATCTCTGTCCTTTGGGATTGGGCTACTTATAACAGAACTCTGTCAAATCAGGCCCACCTGCCCCTGACAGGGCAGGTATAACCGCCACTGTCGTCCTTCCGCAGCTGTTACAGCCAGGGCTGAGGTGGCACGCACGGGGCCGTCATTGCAGGGTACATACCTGTCAGGTGTAAGACACCTTCTAAAGGTGGCGGGCACAACACTATCTGACGAGAGACGTGGCTACAGTCTCCAGGTTTGTCAGGTACAGTGGTCAGGCAGGAGTCCTTCCTGTGATGTGCTGAACAGCTCTTCTCTGAGCTACCCTGTACTGAGCTACCCTGCAAGTGGCGAGCTGCCTATAGCAAGCTACACCGAGGTGTCTCTACCTCGGGGTATCTAGAGGCAGATCGGGGTGTTCCTGTTTGGGAGTGGCCTAAAATCCACTGGGAGGAGCTCGGGCGTTAGGAAATGTTAGGGGGCCCCGAGCTCGGAGGTAGCTCGGAGCGCCTCAGCCTTGAGAAGGAGGTGCAAGCCAGGCGGCTCTCAGCGAGTAGCCTAACCCACCGAGTTGCCAAACTAAAATCGGTTAGCCCTTCCCACCGAGTTGCGGTTGCGCTTGCTGTACTGTCACGCTGAGTCATCGCTTGATCAAGGTCATACCCATGTGTACCCATGCTATGAGGTCGGGCCAAATCACCCTCCATCAGAACCTATTTATTTACTAACAATTAATCTTGGATAATATGTTTACTAAAAAATAGGGTAAGTGAGTAAGTCTATATTAATATCAAAGTGTTTTTTAATCTCCCATTACTATCGACCTAAATTAAATCAAGGGTAAATTTCCTAAACTAGCCTTACCGTTTAACTAATTGACTGACTAACCCTACCTCTGCTATTTCTAACAATTGACTACTTATTACTGATGTTAAATATGGACGGAATGGCTCCTTTAACTCAAACTTAAAACAAAAAGTTAAATTTACCAATAAAACAATCCATCCTTGTGCCCGAGTCCATCACTTTCGTATCCGGCACCAGCTACGGGAATCTTTACCTTTTGTCATTGGCGGTCGCTACAACTTCCACTCAACACAAAGGACGCAAAGCAGTAGCACCCACTTCCCATTTCTTCTCTTTTCCCTCTTCTTCTCTCTCTTCTCTTTTCTGCCGAAAATCGAGAGACCTATGAGAAGAGCAACACTCCATGGAATCGGAAACTCATCAGATTAACTTGATCTCCGCTCAAGGCCTCAAACCCCCCACTGCTAACCTCCAGCGCATGCAGACTTACACTGTCGCCTGGGTCGACTCCACACCCGTATCGACCATGTTGGCTGCAAAAACGCCACTTGGAATCGGAAACTCATTTCCTAGAAATTAACTTGATCTCCGCTCAAGGCCTCAACCTCCGGTGCATGCAGATTTACGCTGTCGGCTACCTAAAAGGTACTCTCATTTGCACCATCTATTTTCTCATTGGAGACAAAGATACTCTCATTAGTACCAAAAAAATGGAAAGAGAAAGGAGACAAATAGAAGAGAGTTCAAAGACGAAGGATAGAATCTTACTTGGTGTTGCTGTAATGGCCATTGACGGAGACAAAGATAAGATGAAGCAGAGGAGAGGGAGGGAGAGAACAAGAGAGACATCTCTCACGCTGTTTGGGTAAAGTTTCGGATAAGCGACCTCTTTTCCAGACATTGAGCAATCCTATTTTGGCCCTGATTTGGAGAGAGTGTGTGTGAGAGAGGAGCCGGAGGTGGAGGGGGCTAACGCAACCGCAGGTTAAGGACTGAATCAATTCGGTTTGCTATTGAAAGGAATAAGATGGAAAGGGTAAAATTGGATTTTAAAAAATATATACGTCACTTGCATATGAAAACGGTAAGGGTAAATTAGTCAATTGTTAGAAACAGTAGGGTAATGTTAGTCAATTTTCAAATAGTAGGGGTACACTTGGTCAATGTCAAGAATGGCCTGTATCTTCTCCAAATTGGCCTCAATTCCTCTCTGTGTAACCATGAACCCCAGGAGCCGAAATCGACCCAAAACCACATTTCGTCGAGTCCAGCTTCATTATATACTTCCTGAGGGTGTTGAAGTCTTCATTGGGATCGGATAAGTGATGCTCGGCCTTCTTGCTCTTTACCAACATGTCGTCTACATATGCTTCAATGTTGCGGCCGAGTTGATCTTTGAAAACCTCGTTCACCAGTCGCTGATAGGTAGTGCAGGCGTTCTTGAGGCCGAAGGGCATTGCCTTGTAACAGTATAGTCCCCAATCAGTGATGAAGGTGGTCTTCTCCTAGTCGTCTAGGTGCATCTGAATCTGGTTATAGCCTAAGAACGCGTCCATAAAGCTCAGGAGTTCGTGTCCAACCATTGCGTCAACGAGCTGGTCGATCTTCAATAGGGAAAAACTATCTTTGGGACAGACTTTGTTTAGGTCAGTAAAGTCGAAGCAGATTCTCCACTTTCCATTAGCCTTCTTCACCATCACTACATTGGCCAACCAGTCCAGATACTTTACTTCCCGGATGAAGCCGGCATCGAGCAACTTTTGAACATCTTCGTTGATCACTTGTCACCATTCTGCGACGAAACTTCTCTTCTTCTGCCTAATGGGTCAGTAGCGTGGATCGACATTCAAACAGTGGGTAATGACCTTGTGGGGGTGGGGGGGGGTAAATTACAGATTACTACACTTAGACTCTCCTGAACTTTCATCCATTAGTTTATGGTTTCCACCTTTACAGAGTCCTACAAATTCTGGTTTAATTTTGTTTCATCTTTTGCCTTTTTTTTTCATTTTCATTGCAGATGAAATAGAATGAAACCTAAATCTAAGTAAAATACAAAGCACAAATGAACCAAAATTTGCATTCTTCCTGCTCCATGTTTGAAACTTTGAATAGTTGCAATTGCAACAAGTACAACTTGTATACGCACCCATGATCGGCTTCACGGGCATCTCATGGTCGCAATGCCTCTGCGGACAACTGCAACTTAATACAGTGTATTTCTAACTCCTTTGAGAAATACACTTCAATTCTCATGGTTCCTTGACCAAAACAATAACTAAAACCAAGCATCTAAATACGCATCTTATGTCATTTGAAGGTTATGAGTTATTTTGGCAAAAGCAACAAAATGGGTTTGAATTTCTAATCTTTCAAGTTGACGTTGTAGCTCTCATCATAATGCTCCCTAACAGAGCTACGCTCATATTTAGTAAGGGAAGTTTAATTAATGTACTCAACGTCTCGACACAGCCTATTGTCAATTAATCAAGTTTTCATGTAAGGAAACTTGTTCTGTAGTCTAAGGACTATATTTTGAACGGTTACAAATTTACAATAAAACCAAGTGGTTTGTGCTTGCTTCTATCGAATACGAAAAAGTGAAAAACACAAGTTCAGAGATCTTCTCATGTGAAAAGTTCAAAAAGAGAGTGGGGAATATACCCAATGAAAATCCAAAGTACATGAAATAAGCCTATAAAACTAACAGGATGATGCACAGATATTCTGCAGAGAACTAAACAGACATTTGAATTTGCTCTCAGAAACCCCTGCAACAATTCCAAACAAATACATTAGTGTATATGATCAAACACCTATGCACATAAGCAAACATCTTAAAGCATTTCATCAGCAATCAAATGAATAGTAAACATTCAATGGTTTATCAAGTCAAAAATCACTTCTACAAAAAAAATAAAAAATCAAGTCATGAATAACCATCACATATCTCTCTGATCTGTAAGGATTTAGTAGTCTGGAAAGTGGTGAACTTGTAATACCCATCAAAGAATATCAAAACCAACTGATTGTAGCTCAATTGGTAGGGTCTCTGGATCGTTGTAGGGGAGATTTGGGATCAAATCCCACTGCCACCAGGGTTGGGGTGCTATGAGTATGGAGGATGGGCTACCCCCACCCACCCAAGTTGTATAGCCGATGAACCAATAAGAAAACAAAATCAAAGTAGAACAGATGAAGAAAGAATGCCATCCATTTACAGAGTCAACTAAGAGAAAGACTTTGATATTTCAAAGGAGCTCTTGACTTCTTTTCAATCAAGTATTTCAGTACTTCTAATCTCTTGTGTTCATCAGGAAACATTTGGCATCAGTGATGACTTGACAGTTCGTCAAAGTTTATCCAAAGTCTAACTTATTCCAGCAGCAAATAGAGTTTGATGTTTTAGCAGTACTGGATCAAAATTCAGTGGATAAAGTAGAGCAGAATGGTTGTATAATCTAAAACCAGGTAGAAAATCAGTTTCATATTTTAATATTAAATTCATCCATAGAACAATTTCTTATAATAGCCAAACAGGGTTGGTTGATTTGGCAGTACTGGACCAAATTCCTATTGATAGAGTAAGAATGTCTTCAATATCTAAAAGTGTTTTCAACCCGCCGTTCACCCGAACAGTTCTGATTACGGGTCTGGTTTTCCTCAAACCCGGATTTTGACCAAAAACTGTTGATTTAGTCAAAAACCACCCAACCCAGGTGGTTCAACCGTTGAACCATTCAACCCAGTGACTGGGTCACAGGTTACACACTAGAACTTCCAGAGGCCATAACTTTGTTTTCAACTAGAGTAGGGGAAGACAAAAAGAAAATGGTTATTTGAAAAATCAGGATCTTTCTCTGTTAAATCATTTTACAGCATCTTGTTAGGTGAGGAATCTTCATCCTTTCCAAGTGACAGGGTTTGGGTAAGGTCTGTGCCTTCCAAACTGGCTTTTTTGTTTCGTCTGTGCCTCTGCGGTGCTGGACAAGATCCTATCTAAGGACAATTTAGTTAGGAGAGAAATGGAGGTGACAGATATGGCATGCACTCTGTGCAATGGGTGTGAAGAAACTTCTAGCCATCTGCTAATTCACTGCAAATTCACTCATTGGATTTGGACAAGTTTGATGAGCTTGTTTGGGATTCATACGTGCTTCCCAGCTGATGTGAAGAGATTCATGGGAGCTTGGTATTTAAGTGGTTTAAGCAGGGCTGGAAAATTAGCTTGGAACTTACTCCCTTCAGCAGTATTTTGGGCAGTGTGGTGTGAAAGAAACAGCAGAACTTTTGAAGATGGACAAAGTTCAAAAGAAGAGGTCTTTAAAAGGATTTCAGGAATTATACATTCATGGCTGGCAAACCACTCATTATTTAAAAATAAACAATCATGTTCTTTTTTTGAGCAAGATTTCCTTTTTGTTAGGAGTTCATAATTTTTGGGTGGGGCTGATTGTTGGGTATACTGGTTTTCTTTTTTCCCTCTTGTACGGATTCTCTTTGTACAGGAGTTTACATAGTTACATGGTTTTAAAGGTTATTAATGAAATACTTTTTTTATAGATATTATTAATGAAATACTTTACCTTACAGTTTTCAAAAAAATATTGATTTTGGGTAACTTTTTGAGATCTATGTGTCCTAGGGCACCTTGCCCCACCATTTTTCCAAAAAAGACCCCTTTGGCTTCAAATCCCAATTTTTAACATTTTTTACAAATAAAAAAATTAAAAACTGGAATAGAAACATAAAATAATACATACGTTACATGTAGTTATAATTATAAATTATTTATTGATAAATTACATATTTATACATATATAGTTAAATGTGTATATGCTGAGAATGTCATGGTGTGACCCATTTGACCTGGACAACTGAACCAGCGACCCACAACCCAAAGGCAAAAGTGGTCCATCCTCCAAGTTGGGTTTTAAAACATTGATCTAAAACTAAAAGTTCTATAAGGATTTAGTACAGTTTGGAAAGTAGTGAACTTATAATACCCATCAAAGAATATCAAAACCAATTGATCATGGCTTAGTTGATAGGGCCTCTAGATCGTTGTAGCGGATATTTGGGATTAATTCCCACTACCAAACAGGGTTGTGGGGGTTATGGGCTACCTCCACCTCCCCATCGATTGTGTAGCCCATGAGCCTCCACCTCTCAAGGGGAAACCTCCACAGCCAATTGCCTAGTAGAGCTGTATTTTTTTCAATCAAATTTCTGATATCCAAGCCTCCCTGAACCTTAGATCTACACACCTACTCCCACTTCACACAAATGGTCCTTCCTCTCATCCACCAGTTCCCAAAAGAAATCCCTCATATATTTTTCTAACTGCTTAGCCACTCTAATCGATAGATGAAAGATGGACAAGTAATAGATGGGTAAGTTGGCCAGTGTAGATTTAATTAGGATCATTCTCCCACCCATTGAAATGTAGTTCCTTTTCCAAAGAGCCAGCTTCTTAGCAAACCTCTCCACTACCAATTTCCAAAAGTTCTCTCCTCTTGGACTGAAACCCAAAGGTAGTCCAAGGTATTCTAAAGGCCAGTACTGAGCTTGTACCCTAGGATTCCCACCAACACATGAGCCTCATCCTCTCTCACATTAGCCCCCTCTGCCATTTTTCCACCAATTCACCTTCAAATTAGAAACCCTCTCAAAGTACTAACTTCTTTAGGTTCCTCAATCTACCTCAGTATTTTAAAGTGCAAGGGGCAATTTGCACCTAAGGCACAAGGTGAGGCACATGCCTTTTCGAAGCAAGGTGCAAAAATTCAAAAAAAAAAAAAGCCAAAAGTTCAGAAAATGCAAAAAATAAAAAAAGAAGTGCAAAAAAAAGTAAAAATAAAAACATTAAACATAATATTAATAAAAAATATAAACTAAAATTTTAAAATAAATGATTTAAAAAACATATTATCTAAGATTAAAACTCAAAAACATAACATGTAAAGCGTATTCAAATGAAAATTTAAAAATAAAATCAAACATATAAAACATATTCAAGCAAGTAAAACTCCCAGTTTCTTTTTCCCTCAATTGCATAATTTCAAAAATAGCTAATGTTATGCAAAACATCTTGCTTTCCTAATTTTATGAGCCACCTTTGTACCAAGCCCCTCAAGGCAAGCCCAAACAAGTCCATGTTAGGGTCTTCAATTCTTAATCCCTACACAAAAAAAAAATGATATTATAATTTTAATTGCCTTTTAAGAAAATATTTTATTAGGATGAATGAATGAATAACATTAGAAAATAGGGGGTTCTCGCTCACCGAAGCTCTAAGAACCCCCTATTTGCTAATATTGTTCATTCATTCATCCTAATAAAACATCTTCTAAAAAGTCAGTTCAAATTATAAAATCATTTTTAGTGTAGGGATTAAGAACTTAAGACCCTAACATGGACTTGTTTGGACTAGCCTCAAGGGGCTTGGCTGGGGGTCCGGGGGCGAAGGCCCCATCCCAGCCACTAGGTTAAAGAACAAAAGGTGCAAAAAATAAATAAAGGCACATGCCTCAGCTGAAGCAAAAGGTGCACGCCTAGGCACACCAGGTGTGTGCCCCTCGAAAATGTTGCACCTCGACCTAGGTGAGGCACATAACTTAAAAGGCACCTCAATTAAGCACCTAGGCTTGCCTGAGGCGCTCCTTTTTAAATCACTGATCTACCTTTTTTTTTTTTTTGATGAATGATCTACCTTCATCATACCTATCATAGAAAACAATTATATCATCTGCAAATTGAAGGTGGCTAACAACTAAATCATTCCTTCCGACCCTCCAACCCCTAAAGGAGTAATCCAAATCAGCCTTTATGATCAATCATCAATCTACTTAAAACTTCAGCAATCGGACAGAAGAGAAAGGGGGGAAATAGCAGTTCGGTAAAGTTTATCCACAGTATAACTTATTCTAGTAACAAATAGAGTTGGATTTTTTAGTAGTAGTGAATCAAATTTCAGTGGATAAAGTAGAGTAAAATGGTTTTATTATCTAAAACTAAGTAGAAAATCAATTTCATATTTCTATATTAAATTCACCCTAGCACAGTTTCTTATAATAGCCAAATAGGGTTGATTCAGTTGGCAGTATTGGACTGGACCAAATTCCTACTGATAAAGTGGAATCAGCTAGGCATAGAGCATCTGATTATTGAAGGGGATTCCCAGGTGATAGTGGGTTGGCTGAAGGATCTGGACACTGATTTGGGGTTTTAGAGATCTTCTCAAAAAGGTTAAATGGTTAACAAGGAACATGACAATCAGAGTTCAGTGGGTAGGCAGATCAGCAAAGTCAATGGCTGATCCACTTGCAAAACAAGGGGTTCTTCGGGATACTTTATTTTGGGCTTCTGTGTAATTTCTTTTGTACTTATAGTTCTGTAACTAGTTTTAAAGGAAATGTTGCATCTTGTGCCTTTCCATGGGTTGCATGTAACTCTTATTTCCTGGTTTAATGAAATCTTCTCATTTATCAAAAAAAAAAAAAAAAAAAGTGGAATGAGAATGGCTTTATTATCTAAAACTAAAAGTAAAATATCTCCTGTCTCTTTTCAAAGGAAGAGCGATAATAATAATAGTAATCTTAAAGAGAGATTCTCGCCTCTTCCAGCTCCTATGTCTCTTCCTCTTTCTTTTCTGTATTCTCCTCCTGCTGCTCCTTGTTAATGTTACCTCCCCATTTTCTGTAATTAACTTTCACAAGTATTATTCATTAATGAAGATTTCTGTTATTGATCAAAAAAAAATGTTTTTGTGTCTTTGGGACTGAAAGGGGCAAAGAGTTTGAGGGTGAGGAAGGGGTGGAAGAAAATGAAATGGTAGGTAAATCTATAAATGTTCAATTCTAAAAGCGTGCAGCTACTGGTTTTTGCTTCACTTCATTCCTGGCAGGCCACATTTGCAGGAAGTTGTTTATTGGTTCTGTTTTGATTGTTTTAGAAGTTATCGATTGTGTTTCTTGGGGTTGGGCCTTTTGTAGTGTCTAAGGGGATTGTATAGCTTCCTTGCTGGTGGTTGTTTCCTTTTATTTTGTAATGATCTTTTTTTTGTTTTTTTTTTTTATAATAGCACACTACTTGGATACCTTTCTGTTGGCTAGGCAACTAGGCGTCCTTGGTTGAACACATCCCCCAAACGCCCTGGCTTATAGCAACTAGGGGTCCACCTAGGTGACTAGGCACCTACCTAGGTGACTAGGCACCTGCCTAGGCAACAAAAATGAGAAGATGGGCACCTTATTATAATATCATTTATATTGTTGTATCTTATTAATATGTGTGCTAATAATAGATACCATATATCATTTATACTTTGTTTTAATGTTTTACTATTGAAATTTAAAAGATCAACAGGTTTTGAGAAAAGAAAAAGAATGGATGAATGAAAACAAGTATAGAGAGAGAGATTTCTTTTCTATTTTGTCACCCTCTCACCAATTAAATAAAATAGCAACTCCGTCCTTGTTTTTGTCTATTTTACTTTCAATCTTGAATTTTTATTTATAAAGTTAATAACCTTATTTGGTTGCTAATTGATATGAAATTGCTCTATTAAATACTTATTATAGTAGTATTGTTTTTGAAAATAATGAAATTAATATATTTAATATAGATATGATGATTTTTTTATCAGCAACATGGAATTTTATTAAAAGGAGAAAACAGTACAAATCATAGGTAGCCTTAGCTACACCAAACAACTTAACAGAAAACAGCAAAAAGAAATAAAAAGAACATAAAAAATTCTCTTAGATATGATGGTTTGCCACATTTTTAGAGGAAATTTAATGTTTTTAATAAAGAAAATTGCTGTTTTTTTCAATTAAGATGCATGCTAAATGGTATATAAAACTAGGGACTTAACCAAAAGTTAGTTCTTTATATTATGAAATTTTTATCACCTAGGCGACTAGGCACCCCAATGTCACCCAGAATCGCCTAGACACCTTGACAACTATGCTTGTTCTAGTAGTCAAAATGAACTCAACTAGAGTTTTGCTCTCCCTTGTAACCACTTATTCCTAGCCTTTGTACCAATTGATGTTAAAATGCCTTCTTGAATTATGGCTTGAATGAAGTATATGTCTCTCCCACCTAAATTTTATGGCAATTCTAGTGTAGGGAAGGTGTGCTAGCTTAGGAAGTCATTATGTGGGTTGAAGCCATAAAGTGTGCTTTGGTCGGTTTAGAAGAGCTTTTTTTATCAATAACAGGACTTTTCCAATTAAGAAATAAGCTTTAGATACAAAGGAGAGGAGCTAAATTAACTATCTTAACTCCCCAAGGAAGCCAAAAGCCACCTAAAAGGAAAGTAAAAAACAGTTACAAATGATCCCAGAAAACAGAATCCCTGTTCACCCCTTGTCTAGCTAATCCATAGGCAAAGGAATTTGCACTTCTCTTCACCCAAGTACATTTTACATCAATGTCCTTTGTCAGCCACTTAAACTTTCTCTTTTCATTGCTGTAATTCCAAAGTCCACTCTTGTCTTCCTTTAACCAGCCCACTACTAGCTCAAAATCTCCTTCTATGATCAGCTTACTAATAATCAGGTCTTTAGCTCGTCAGTTTAGAACAGCATTATTGAAGGCAGATTACTATCAAGCATAGTCAGATCACACATTGTTTATGAAAAGAGAAAGTACATTCCTTACAGCTCTCATTTAGTATGTCGATGACACAATAGTGATTGGGAATAATATTCCAAAGATGGATGGAAAGGCTTAAACAGTTTCTAAATTGTGAATTTGACATTAAAGATTTGGAACTGCCTTAATACTTTCTTGCCATAAAGGTGACTAGATTGATGGTATATTTATCTTAGAAAGAAAATATGTCTTGGACTTGCTAAAAGAAACAAGGAAATTTGGAGTTAAGCCAACAAGCACACCAATTGATCCTAATCACAAGTTATCCTCTTCAATTAAGAAACCACTCAAAGAAAAAAGAAATGTTTCAGCATTTGGTTGGTAGCTCTTGTATCTATGCATGGCTCACAGCCTGATTCTTTTTTTGTTTTTTCGATGGGTTCAGTCACCATTGGAATGAGTTGGGATCAAGTAATCAAGTATGATAGTCTTATGATGCTTTATCATAATAATCAGGAGGCAATTAACATAGCACAAAAACAAATTCAGCATGACCAAGAGGGAGCATATTGAGGTGAATAGGCATACCTTCAGGGAGGAAGTGCTGTCTGCAAAAATGTGTCTTATGTAGCATCTAAAAATCAAATGGGAGGTATTATTTACAAAGTAGTCAAATCTAAGCTGAACCATAATGTAAGCAAAAATGGGTACGATTGATATCTATACTCAGCTTGGCAAGGAGTGTTGAAAGACTAGGAGACGAAATAGGTGGACCCACAGTTACGAAGTAATTAATTAGTTTTCTATGCCTGTTCCGTAGACAGGGGTATTTATGTCATTTGCATGTAATTTGTTGTATCAATTGGAGAGTCGTACAAGCATCAATGAAAGAAAAGCCAGGTAGACAAACAGTCTTCTCTTCTTTCTCCTTTCTCCAAATCAATCTTCTCCCTCTCTTCTGGCTTTATTCATAGAGTCACCTCACAAAAATATGCCATCAAATTATTGAATAGATAATGAAATAATTCGCAGCAAAACCAAGATAGAGAAATTCAACCAGTCAAATTAAGAACAAAATAAATCATCTAGGCATGTCTTTTTTCTGTGTATCAATGACAGAAAACATATCTTACTTTTCCAAAATGGAATTCAGCTAATGGAGTTCTTTTATGTTACCTGACTTTCTTGCTAAGAATGGCATAGAGTTTGCAAGAAAGCTCTTCAGAACGGATCTTTCGCTCCAGCAAGTTCTTCTGGGCAAAGATGCGTTCCTCAGAATTCTTGATGTGGTATCTTGACTGACGTTTTATCAGGTATTCCATCCCACTTGCCCTCATCCTACGTTGCATCACTGTCATTGCCTGCTCCAGATTCCCATTCCGTACCTGCACTCGAATCCCTCTCCACTGCTAAAGCTGCTGATGCACTGAACTTAATGGATTGTTGGAAAACTTGTCCCTCTCAAAAGGGTCAATGTCTGCTTCAATATGGAGTTCATCTTTCCAAGGTTTTTGATTAAGTTTTGTTTGGATTACAGGAGAATGTTTAAGAGAGTCTTGTCCAATCTGTAGAAAAAGAGTTTATCAGACAAAATTACAGAGAGAAAGAGACATGATCAAACAAAACTAGACCTACTAATGAAACTAAAATTACAGCCTAGAAAATTATTGAAATAATGACAATTGTTCAGCCTTTCCTATATAGATAACAGAAATCACTAATAAAAGATTAAAAAAAAAAACTTCAGTTGCAAAGAAGGCTGTAATAATTATCTACCTCAAAGAGACTAACAGAGGAAACTTCTCATTTCCAATACTATAAATGCTTATCAGGAAAACCAGAGTAGGCATGTTCATCATGCCTACTCTAAATCAGATGATCAAAAATCATTGAATCATGCCTACTCTTTGATTTGATAGGTGTTCCTTTGCTCTCTCTTCATACATCAGTTTTCATTTTATAGAATTTTCAATTTGTGTGAGGTGTTCTATGTGTTTGCAGATACGCACATCATCAGCCCAGGGATCAGTGCCACTTCTTTAGCCTTAGTATTCGCCCCAAGGATTTTGACGTATCAGTCTAGTGACTAGCATTTATAAAATCTTATCCAAGATTTTGCCTTTAAGGATTAAGGCAGTTCTCCCTTCTATTAATAGCCAATCTCAAGGGGATTTCATTAAGGAAGACAAATAGTAGATCAAATTCTCATTGCCAATGAGTATGTGAAGGAAATGATAAGGACAAAGAGCAAAGGTTTTGTGTGTAAGCTGGATCTGGACAAAGCTTATGATATAGTGGATTGGACCTTCCTAATAGAGGTCATACAAAATTGCAGGTTTGGGGAGAGATGGTGTAATTGGGAAAATGTGTGTTTACATCTTGCCATTATTTTGTCCTGGTGCATGGGGCGGTTAAAGACCTTTTCCCAACCTCTAAGGGTTAAGACAAGGAAACCCTCTATCACTCTTTCTTTTCACCCTTGTAGTTGATGTGTTCAGAAGATTAATATCAAAATTGATAGGGAAGAAGAATTTAGGGGTTGGAGAATAAGGAGGAGCAACATTGTAGTTACACAACTCCAGTTTGTAGATGACAATTATTTCCTATGAAGTCAATGATTTGAAGAAGATGAATAATTTGAAAGCTCTATGCTGATCAAAAAAACAATTTGAAAGCTCTGATTAAGAGGTTTGAAGTGGCTTCAAATTTAAAATTCAATTTGGAAAAGAATTGTATTGCAGGAATTAATTTGGAGAAAGGGGATTTGGCTTCTATAGTAAACTGCTTAAATTGCCCTACCACTAGTTGGCTTTTACCTACTTAGGTCTCCCTCTAGGTGCAAACCCTAAGGGAAGTAGCTTATATAGTAAACTGCTTAAATTGTCAAACAATTAGTAGGGTGGAAAATAACTTATATCTCAATGGGAGCAAGGCTACTCTAATAAAATCAACTCTAGCTAACCTATCAATTTTTAGAATACTGCAAATGGAAGCAAAGAAATTAGAGAAACTTATGAAAGACATCCTATGGGAGTTAAGAGAATAAAAGAAGGATCATCTAGTTAATTGGAAGACAGTATGTAGAAGTAAGAAAGAAGTAGTGATTAGTGGGAATGTGGTTAAAAAGAACATTGCTTTGTTAGGAAAATGGTTATGGAGGTGGCCTTCGGAGCAGGAGAGGTTATGGTATAAGGTAATTTCTAGTATTCAAGAATCTGGAGAGAGAATGGTAATTCCTGTTGGGAACATTTTCCAGGATTTGGAGGTAGTATACAAGAATCTGGACGGTTCCATTAGCATACATAGTGAAACTTCTGTCCGTTATGTTCCACTGACAAGTCAGGATTCCCAGTTACGAGGTTATTGAGAAGATTTCAAGTCCAAGTGCCCAACAACCAACAAAATGAAATCTAATGCATACGTTGGTTCATTTTCAATCAAATACAATACTTATCATCAATGTTAAAATCAAATCTCAAGGATTTTTCATCAACTTAGGATAAAAGAATCATAGCAGCAATAAAAATAAGAAATACCCTTGCCAAACGAAAACCGAGGAAAACTTACCTCACTGTGGTTTGATCTGGTCTGCAACAGAAAGACAGGAGAGGAATGAAAAGGAGTGTGAAAGAGAAAAGGAGAGGAATAAGAAGAAGAAGAATAGGAAAGGAGAGAGAACAATCGACTTTGACTTACCTCGCCGTCGCCGGAGTTACAGTCCAGAACCGTTCTTCAAATTTTAACAGCAATGGAGAGAGTGACGAGAAAGGAGGGAGAGAAGGTTAGAAAGTTGGAATCGTGTAGAGGGAAGGGCTTTTGAGGGGGTTTGTGTGCTTTTCTTTTTTTGGAAAATTTCTTTTTCCCTTTTTATTATTTTAAGAAGTAGGAATGGAATTCTAATTCATGGAGGTAGGCGGGGAATGGCAATTCCCTCGTATGGAGGATTGCAATTTGCCATTCCAATCAGATTTCAATTCCGACCAACCAAACGCTTGGACTGTTCTAATTCTGATTCCATACCCTATTTCTGCGAACCAAATGAGGCGGCTATTTGAGAGAATGATCCCGTACAAAGTACGGTCAAATTCTTTTTTATCTATATTTAATATATATATATATATTAATATATTTGTTTAGAATCCATGTTATATTGTTTTATTTGTTTTTATATATAAATTTGTTATTTAATTTATGATATTAAATTAAATTTTGTTCTTTTCTTCTTTTTAGTAGAGTTAATTATTCCTAACTTTTTTTATAGTGGAGATAACTACCATCTGAGAGGGTAGAAACACGTCTAAGGAAGTAAGCTTTTCTTTGAGAGTGAGAATAACGAGTAACTTCTAATTCTATCCTAAGGGCTCTGTTTTAGTGAACCCGATATCATGACAAAAGGGTTAAAGGAAAATTAAAACTTTATATCATTTGTCGTAGAGAAAAACTCAAAACAGATAAAATGTTCTCCATTAGAGCATATGTAATGGATAAGTGATTCAGTTAATTATTATTCTAGATTAAGTTAATTAATTAATTTATTAAATTAATAAGTGATTAAGTTAATAGAGTATTTATCTATTAAGTTAACTAATTTTAAATAACTTAATTAAAATAAGCGAAATAAGTTATATTAATTACTTTGTTTCAGTTTATTAGTTAAGTTAATTTATTCAATGAACATTCTTAATCATAGAACTCCTCAATAACCCACGTTTAGAGGTGTAAAGTGGGTCATGTCGGCTAGGGTTGATCGGTTTATATTGTAATTTTTAAAGAATTAATAATAATCTATATTTTATATAGCAATTTTAATATTTTTTTGCAATATAAAATTAATAATAATTAATTTCAGCTAGGGTTGTTCATCAAACCAGTGAAAAATGACGAACCCGATCCAACTCAACTCAAGCTGGTCAGTTTTCTAATACTCCCGGTTGGCTTTGGTTTAGTAATTTTCCAATTCGATTAGGTTGGATCAATTTTGGTTTGGCCATTTATAAACTGACCAATTATGTATACATATACATATATATACATACATATACATATATATATGCATATATATAATATTAATATGTTATATTTTAAATATAATTTTTCCAATATGGGAAAGTGGGAAATTCACATATTTTTTAGTCTAAAATATTTTATATCATAAATTTAAAATTTTTACTTATTTTCTTAATAGCACCACTATAATTATTTAAATTTAAATTTTTAAGCTTAAATCTTTTGAACCAACCAACCAAACCGAAAACCAACTCCTCAATCTGACCAAGTCAATTTGGTTGACCAAACAATATGTAACCGAACTGACATATGAACATTCATAATTTCAACTAAATTAATAGTTAAATCTCTAATAAATAACAATGCTTTAATCTCTGTTAATTATTGATAATTTATAGCAAAAATACGTAATTATTGAAAATAAATTCATAATAAAAATATTATAAATAAATAATAATACAAAAAATACAATAATTACAAAATAAATACAATAAAATATTTAAATTTTTTCATTGTTTAAATTTTATTTATTTGAAAGTTATTGCATAATATTAAATATTCTTATATAATTATTTAGCTATTTTAATATTTTTATTTAAAACATTTAGTTATTGAAATATTTTAATATTTTAATTTTTTATTATTCAAAGTGAAATTAAAATAATTTTGTTATTGATTTTTTTAAATATTATTTAATTATTACATAATATTAAATATTTTTTATATAATGATTTTCTATTCTTAATATTTTTATTTAAATATTTTAAATTTTTATTACTTGAAAAGATTTTAAATGATTTTGTTACTGAATTTTTTAATTCATAAAATTATAATTTATCTTGTTATTACATAATTTTTAATTCGTAAAATTACAATTTATATTGCTAATAATCTAAAAATGATTAAATCTATTATAATTATTTTTAATAAATATTTTAAAGTTATTACATAATTTTGTTATAATATTTAAATAATTACTAAACATTTTAATTCAAACTTTCTTTAAATAGACATAGATGAAAAGTGGGGGGGATAAATAGGAATTAGAGATAATAAGAGATAATTTAGGAGAAAATAGGGGATAGTAGTGCCACGTGAGTAGATTAGGTATGTAGGATAGGTTAAGAAGTATTTTAGGAGGAATTTTAGGTGGGAGAGATAGCTTAGGAGAAATTTTAGGAGGGATTTGCTAAGTGTTTAGGAACATGAGAGAGATGGAGTTGGAGTGGGACTCTAGTAAAGAAGAGAGGGTTGCCGCGTGGCTACATGGAAGGGTTGGGAAAGGGTAAGGGAGAAAGTAGAGAGGTTTTAGGAGAGAAGAGATGAGGGGGAATGGGAAAAGGAGAGGGATGCTGATGTGGGACTTAATCGCTTTATAATATAGTATAGATTATATTATATACTAGCGAGGACCCGTGCAATGCATAGATTTTGTTAAGTTAAAGATAAATAATAAAAACACATAAGATTAGACAATTGTTTTATATTTCAACTTTTTAAATAAGTAATAATTATTTATATTTTATATATTATTCCTAATATTTTTTTTTGTAATACAAAAATAACAATAATTAATTTCAGCTAGGTTTGTTCATCAAACTGATGAAATCGACCAACCTAACCCAACTTGATCCAAGTTGGTCTGCTTCAATTCAACAACTTTCCAACCCGATCAGGTTGGGTTAGTTTTTTATTAGTCATTTGTAAACTAACAAAAATTGAATCACGAGGCTATATATATATGCATACATACATGCATACAAAAAAGTGAAAAATTCTCATATTTCTTAGTCTAAAATATTTTATATTATAAATTTAAAATAATATTGATGTAATTTTTTAAAGTTTAAATTTAAATTTAAATTTTAAGTCTAAATATTTTAACCGACCAAAATGAGCCAAACCAATATCAGTGTTTTCAACCCTCATCGACTCAACCAGTTGAACCATTCAAACCGTCACCTAACCTTGATTCTGGGTTTGGTTCTATTGAAACCTGTCCTTCGATAAAAAATCGTTCAACCCAAATAGTCCAACCGTTAACTCATTTGACACGGTCATTGGTTTGCGGTTGCACACTTAATGCATGTGCAAACTTTCGGAGGCCATGACTTTGCACTCCAATGTCCGATTGAAGTGATCTTTTTTTTTTGGGTAACCTTCAAGATCTATGCATTCCAAGGTGCTATGGGCGCCTTGCCTCACTATTTTCATGAAAATCCCTGTTTTGGCCTTGAATCACAAGTTTTAATATTTTTTGCAAATAAAAAATTAAAAACTAAATTAAAAAGTTCAACCTAGATGGTCGAACTAGTGACCCACGACTTGGAGGCAAAAGTGGTCAACCATATATAATATGTGTCTGAATTAGAATTAGGGAAGTGAAGGTTAGTTAAGAATCTAACAAAAAAAACCTTAATTATTAGGAATATTTTAGGAATAAAGAGAGGTTTTAGGAATTAAGAGAGACATTTGTTAAGTAATTTTTAAAAGTTAAGTATAAAAGGAGGAGAGAGAAATAAGAGTGGGAAAATGAGAGTTTAAGAGGTTTAGGAATTTTGGGAGGTTTAGGGAGAGGATACTTAGACAGCCATGAGAACCTAATTGACAAAAAAAATCTAACGAATGTTTTTTAAGTGTAAATTACTAAAACCTCCACCAAAGTTTCTTATTGTTGTTGAAGCCTCCCCTAAACTTTGGTAATTGCATTCACCTCCCCTAAACTTTCTTACATAGTTGCAAGTAGACATCTTCTAGTAAAATCTTCTGAAAAGAGGCACAAAAATGCCCACAATACCCATGGAATTACTATTAAGGTTGGTTTCTATAGAAAAACAATACAAACTTTATAAATAAAAGGAAAATTTCCATATTAGTACCTTGTACTTTTGGTCTAGTGCCACTTTACTCCCCGAACTTTAAAACGCAACAATTTAGTACCCGAACTTTCAAAACGTGCCAATCAAGTACCTACCATTAACCATCCTATTAACCAATCGTTAAGTGCAATTTGAAAAGACACAAATACCCTTCGAGTGTCATCTAATTCTCTTTACCAACCATCCAAACATTGACAAAAAATGAACAATCCCAAATCCATGCCTCTTCTATTTAAGAAAGTTTGGGTCACCTGAATGCCCACTAAGACGTAACCCCAACTTTCTTGAATAGAAGAGGCATGGATTTGAGACTGTTCATTTTTTATCAACATGTGGATAGTTGATAAAGAAAATTAGATTACAGTCAAAGGGCATTTGTGACTTTTCAAATGTCACTTAACAGTTGGTTAACGACAGGTACTGGATTGACACATTTTGAAAGTTCAAATACTAAATTATCATGTTTTAAAGTTTGGGGACCAAAGTGGCACTAGGCTCAAAGTACAGGGTACTAATCAAGAATTTTCCCTAATAGAGAATTTAAAGTTGCAGCTTTACATTTGAGCAATTGATATGAAGGGAAAGTTTGGAAAATAAATCAATTTTCAAAAACAATAGATTAGAAGAGTTTGGGCTAGTGATTCATATGAAGAGAAAATTGGAAAATAAATATTTTGGTAAAAATTAGCTACATGGGTATTTTGGACATTTTCATGCCTCGTTTTAGAAGATTCTAACAAAAGGGGCCTACTTGCAACTATATCAAAAACTTTAGGGGAGGTGATTGCAATTACCAAACTTCAGCAGAGGTTTCAGCAACAACCAATTAGAGGAGGTTTTAGCAATTTACCTTTTTTTTAATAATTAAAAAACAACAATTAAATATATAAGAGAAAAAAGAAGCAATAAATGGGGGAGAGATTGCAAGGAATGCCAGGGTGAAATATATATATATATATATATATATAGAGAGAGAGAGAGAGAGAGAGAGAGAGAGAGAGAGAGAGAGAGAGAGATGTGGGGGTTATGAGAGCAATAGTTA